AAAATGGGTAAAAGTCATACTTTTAAAAATGCTCTGAAACAATGTTTCATTTACAGTCTTTTACTCTTAATATCAGTTTCTAATGGAGTGTGGAAGTTCTGAATAATTGTACACATGAAAGCAGAGAAACTTTAGCCGCTGCTGAATTAGGTAGTTACAAGCTGAGCAATATCATTGCAAAGGATGATGTACTGATGCTGTGACCAAATGCACCTCTGTATTCACACTCTACACACTATTGTAATAATCTTTGTGCAAAATATGCCTTGTGAGGTATCATTTGAAAACTAATAACTCACTGGCCAATAATATCATGGTGGAATGTATGTAGTAACATTATATGTAAAGTTATGAATTCCCCTGTATGATGTTGGTAGCATATGTTCAGACCCAGGTAGCCCTGACTAGGCAGACATTGCTAAACAGGTCTATCCTAAACAAAGGAATGTATGTTTACCTCAGTTTACATGTAAGTAGGAAACAGGGTCCTCAGGACAGCAAGAGGATGTAAACCAGTTTCTCAAAGACAAAGGACAAGCTAACGCCTCTAGCCAGATATCATTAAAGTTGATTGGCAATACCCTGGAATGTGATAAACACTTTCGAGTAGCTAAACTTAATAGGCTAGACTTGGTTCAAGGTAAAATCCTCAGCACATATTCAGTGACGTAGCCAGGTGGAGCGAACAGGGGGAGCGATCACAAAAAAAGGCTCCACCCACTGTGGCGCTTTTACTCACCCGGCGGTGCTTTTACTGATGGGGTGGCGCTCCGGGTCTTCGGCGGCATTTCGGCAGCGGGTCCTTCACTCGCTTCGCGGGTCTTCGGTGGCATTTCGGCAGCGGGTCCTTCAGTGCCGCCGAACACACCCGGAGCGAGTGAAGGACCCGAAGCCGAAGTGCTGCCAAAGACCCAGAGCGCTGCCCGGTGAGTAAAAATTAAAAAGGCGCCAAGAAATTGAAAAGGTGCCACTTGTGCTCAGTGGGAGAGCGGCCGCTGCCCCGCTCCCCCCCAGCTACGCTACTGCACATATTTCCAGCAACACCGCTGACCAAATTATCAGATTGGGACCTCCCCCCGTGAAGTCAAAGGGCTGGTTCCTTTGTTGTCTTCAGTGAAAGGATGGGGGGAAGATAGAAAGAGAGACCCTGGGGTGTTTTTGCCCTCTACTTTTATAGTTGAGTCACCCTTTGAAATGCATTTTCCTGAGGGTTACCTTTAAATCAGCGGTTTTCAACATGTGGTCTGCAGACCCCTGGAGGGTCCATGGACTATGTGTAAGAAGCAAGGGCGGCTCCAGGCACCAGCGCAGCAAGCGCGTGCCTGGGGCGGCAAGCCACGGGGGGCGGCCTGCCGGTCTCTGTGAGGGCAGCAGGCAGGCAGCTTTCAGCTGCATGCCTGTGGGAGGTCCACCGGTCCCGTGGCTTCGGCGGCGGGGACGCCGAGGGTGCGGCACCGGCGGACCTCCCGCAGGCATGCCCCCGAATCTGCATGACCAGCAGACCACGCGCAGGCATGCCGCCGAAAGCCGTCTGCCTGCCATGCTTGGGGCGGCAAAAAACATAGAGCCGCCCCTGGTAAGAAGTCTGCAAAAGGTTGTCATTACCATAGAACAATAGTTTTCAACCTGGGGTCCACAGATTATATCTAAGATTTCCAAATGGGTCCGCACCTCCATTTGCATTTTTTTAGGGGTCTGCAAATGAATGAAAATTGAAAACCACTGCCCTAGATAAAGTTCCTTCCTGCTGTGAGAATGGAGACATGAAGTCTCGTGGTGAAAGAGGTTCCACGTGGTTGCTTGCTAAAATGCAGATTTATTTGTTCCTGCCCCCCTTCGTTGCCAAAGAATGGCCGCTTGACAAGTGATTTCCCATCAGCTTTGATGACACCTGCCTAGAGTGTCAGCTTGTCCCTTGTCTTTGACACAGTGATTCACCCACTCCCCAGACTTGGCTAGTAAACGCATTGAGTCATAATTTCAGCTTATGTTCATAACTCTTAATAGGCATTTTGTACTTACATTTCACCATGAGATTGTTGACCAGCGAGTTATTAGTTTTCAAATGATACCCCACAAGGCATATTTTGTACAAAGATGGTTACAGTAGGGTGTGAATACAGGGGTGCATTCGGTCACAGCGTTTTATCTTTATTTCTCTTGTAAGCATTTCTGAGTTCAGTGTCTTATACTTACTTAAAATCTATCTCTTTGTAGTTAAATAAACTTTTTATTTTTCAAGCTAAACTAATCCAATGTTGTATTTAAACCAAGCTGTTTGGTAACTCCATTCAAAGTAGTTGGTGGTTGAATATTGACCCCCTACAGGGGCAATGAACCTCTAACATCTGGACTGTCCAGAAGGGGGCTGGAGATTGCAGAACACATGTTTTGGGGGAAATTTGGGACTGGGACTGTGTTGAGGTCACCCTGCAGGTAGTAACCAAGGCTGGTGGAAGCCAGAGTGTGGCTGGTGTGTTGCTGACAGGCTGCTGGAGTCATTGTTGCTGGACCAGGACTGCAGCTATACATAGACACTCAGGGTGTGACCTGCATGCTGTTTAGCTCTTTGTGAGCGGCCCAGGAGGGGAGCTACAACAGCAGAGCATTGTGAGACGCCCAAGGTTGTAGGGCACGTGGTGACACAACCTCTCAGTGGTCTGGATTGCACCCCAGAATGTGACAGATGCCACCACACAATGTGTCTGCCACAAATTCCATTAATCAGAAAATGATTAAAAGTGAAAGAATTTTAAAATTCAGTACATTTGTCATTATGTTTTGTTTACTTGCATTTATCTCCACTTGGGCAACCAAATCAATAAAATCCATTTCACTTTTATTTATATTCAGCTTTATTCCAAATCTTAAGGGCTGCTCTGTTTGGATATCAGACACTTAAGGGGATTATTGGTTTTACTAAAAACAAGTGTTTACTGGATTTTTTTTTTTAATTGCAGAAACATTTTTATTACTCTGATAATGGACAGAATAATGCTAGCTTGCCAAATAATCTTATTTCAAATTTTATATTGAAGTGCAGTACCATTCTTTCGTATCTGCTATGCATGCCAAACATACTTGCAGATCCAACATTACTATTAATAAGACCTTGAGTAGAGGATGTTCAGCAACTTACAGGAATTTCTCAATATCCTGCAGGATCAGGCACTTGGGGCCTGTTCCAAAACCCTTTGAAGTCACTGGAAAAATTTCCATTGATTTCAATGGGTTTTGGATCAGGTCCTTAGTTACCGTCAAAGATAACTTAATGGCTGCCAATTTGTCATCAGTCCGCACTGCAACCATATTCTTTTATCACCCTTGAGAAGCAGTTACCTTTCAAAGTAGAATTCCTACTAATGTGATTCCTTGTCTGTTTTAAAAATCTATATTCTTTCAGCCCCTCTCTGGTCACTACGTAGTAGAACTCTATCAAGCTTCACTTAATGTTAATGTTGAGAAGTTTTATGCTATGATATGCAACAAGATCAGAGTTTGTCTGGACTCTGATAAAACTTGTGTTGCCAAAGATCTTCCTGTTTGGCTATGATTTTCATGGCTGAGGAAGTGTTGGGATTTCCTTCTCTGAGACTCATGGGGGCAGCTCCTCAGCTGGTGTAAACTGTCATAACTCCATTTATGTCAATGGGCCTGTGACAGTTTACACCAGCTGAGGATAGGGTTGCCAGTTTTGGCTGGATGTATTCATGGAGGTTTCATCACATGACCTATTTATTTAAACATTAATCTTTAATTCCTGGAGACTCTAGGACAATCCTGGAGGGCTGGCAACCTTAGCTGAGGATCTACCTTATGGTGTTTCTGATGGGGTCAGCCCTTGTTTGTCACTTGAGCAGAGCAGTACAGGAAGAGCAGGGAAAACCTGATACTCACTTCCATCAGCAGTAGATGTAGTTGGAATCCATTTTTCTTCTTAGAATGTGCCCAACCTGCCTCAGGTGGCACATGACCAGGATTCATCCACCACTGGTTAGAGCCAGGTACTGATGGGGAGCACGACATGAATGTCGATCCATGCTCCCCTTTGGAATCCATTAATAATAAAGAGGGGTAAAATCTTGGTCCCATTGAAGTCATTGGCAAAACTCGTATTGACTTGAGTGGAGGCAGAATTTCACCCCCAGGGATTGAGAAACTGTAATTATCTAGGCAGGTGGAGAAAACACAAATTAAAGAGGAGCACTGAAAACTAATTAAATATTCAGTGTCTTTCTCAGCCTCAATATAGATAATGAATTCGATGCTTTTACAAGCGGAATTTCTGTTGTGGGTAACTTTCCCTAAGTTTTGTTTTCCAATCTTTTACTATTGTGCCATCAGTTAAAATGCATTATAAATGTTCCATTGTATTTATTCTCCACTGCCTCTGCAAACAACATCTGTAAGTCTGCTATAATTATTATTTGTATTACAAAAGCACCTAGAGGCTCTTGCTAAGTGTGTGACCTGCCATATGTTTTGTTTGCTTTTTGTTTTAATGACAATTTTTTTTAGTAATTTCTAATGTAAATCAGTGTTTGAGGTTTTTGTAAGTCGCTGGCAGTGAGTGGATTAGAAGTGATGCTAAATAAATACAGTAGTTGAAAGGATCTGACCTTCTTGTATTAGGGCAAGTGAACAATCATGTCAGAAACCACATTTTCATAAACTGTCTCTTTCAAAATATCCTATATACCCAGGAGGTATTTCTTTGAGACACACAAACCATTGTACAGGCATATGCTTATACACTAGCCCTCATGGTACCAGTTATGTATGTTTCTTCTTTGGACTATGTATTTTTCTAGTGAGTCATTCTTTGTTTTTCCTTGAGGAAGTGTCGATTGCATCATAAAATCAGACCTTTCATGTTTCCTTTTCTACATGTGAATGTGCAGTGTTTAATCCTGCAAGCCTATGAAATCTGTACAGAGCTGCAGTTTTTAGTGGGACCATTGTTAACAGCACAATTTTAAAAGGTGCATTTCTTTTTCTAGACCGTTTATTCCATGGCTCAGTTTCCTTTTCCTCAACTGGCAGAATTAAGGGAGAAATATACATACAACATTACTCCATTCCCTGCAGCAGTAAAATCAACTTCAGTTTCAGGGTAAGTCTGTAATACATCCAGAAAAAAATTTTATTCCCTGTAGTCTAATATAGCCACTATTCATCTGTACAGCAGAGAGGCTAATACAGTTGCTTTTTCCATTGCACATCTAAAATAGATGAAGGCATTTAGTAATGATCAATTAGTAATTAATGCACTGATGTATCTAAGATCTGCTTTCTTTTCCATTTGTTTCCATTTGGCAGAAGGCTAGGCAGAACCAGAGATAGTGATGAGGAGAATGACCTGGATGATGAAGATTCAGTTGCCAATGCAGTTGGCTGCCTTGGACCATTCAGTGGGCTCTTGGCACCAGAGCTACAGAAGTACCAAAAACAAATCAAAGGTAAATGCAACTTCAGTTCGTTCTGAATTATGCAGTCCAATTTGTGTGAGCTTGATTCACCTGTAGGTTAATTGAAATTATGAAAGTTGTAGTTTGAATTGTATGCAGAGACCATTATGGATCTTCTGTAACTTACTGTGCAATCTTTGGATACTCTGCCTACTAAATTGAACGTCTGTGTGTGTACAATACGTGATGGTGTGGAATAAAGATTTTAGTCATGATTATTACCCAAAAAATCCTAAAACTAAGCTGACTAGGAGCTGTTAGGTGCTTAGCACTTTTGAGAATCCCAAAGATAATGAAATATGGCCTTAAGAGTCTAACTTAAAAAAAATCCAGTTTTTTGTTACCATGTGTTTATATAGCATCAGAATCCACGAGTGAGTTATGCACCCCACCCTTGTAAAACCTTTATACCATTCCACACCATCATTTATTCTATAAATAACAAATTTTATAGAAAACTATTTTGATATGTTTCAGAGTATTATACAAAAATTCATTGATTCTATTTTCATATCCCTCAATCTTTCACTCAGTACCATGAGTCCTACTGTGCAAGCCTCATAAGGACAGCAAAATTCTAATACATTTTAGAAACCTAACGTTTTACCTAAAATAGCTTTCCTATATGTGATATAATAGCTTTAGAGTCTGATTTTTGTGATCCCCACTGGAGGATTCTCTCTGAACATTTTCTCTCAAAGATACAACTTTCTCAGGTTTTATATCATTTTCTTTCAATAGTTCTTGAGATGCACAGGAGTGGTTACAAGAAAAACCTTCTTGGTGTCCCTGATTGGCAGCCAATAATATTGTTAATTTTTATTATTGTTCAGGTAACACCAAAAATCTTCCTTGGATCTCCCAGGCCTTTGCCTACAAGTGGAATGGTTACAGTTATGCTGTCTGCCTCTTTACCAGAAACTATTTCTGTTGGATTTAACTTCTGCTTGTATTTGCCGAGATCTGTATGCTAGAATTCTCAGTTTGATGTTGTTTTCTTTCTTTTCTTGGAGGACGGCAAGTCTCCAGCTGCTGCCTCAGACTGACACTTACTCAGAATGTTAAACCATTATTTCAAACTAGACCTAATCCAAACAAACATCCTGTGAAATAAGTTATCCCTTTGACTCTGAATTGCCATTTTAGCGGCACATCAGAAACAGCTGGGAAAATAAGTTGTGCTGCTCCTGTTGCTCTGCCACTCTTTGATGATACAAACTCCCTATCAGCCTGCCTCTTCCACTTGCCCCCACGCCTGATGATTCTGCTGCTCCCTCCCTCCTTGCTGATCTCTGTCAGATAGTCAGTCACATTTGACCAAATGACTAGTTTGACTGTAACAGAGTTACATATCAGTTCATGGAGTGGTGGCCTCAACTTCTAATCACTTTGTAACTGAGAATCTTTGTTTACTACTTGGTCATGTGAAATGCCCACTTTAGTGACTGTGCTGTATGTGTTTTATGCAAACAAGAAATTCAGTTTATATGTTTAAGGTATATTGCAAGATTTAATAAATTATACTAAGTTAAATATTTAGACTTATATTATAATACAGTTATAATAGCTGTTTTTATTACACAGTGTAGTTAAAATAACAGGAGTTGGGCATGTCATTTCCTCGTGCATTTCCTTGGTTAATGATTAGTAGAGCACAGAAAATTCTGATGTATTCATCCCCCTCCCTTTTTCCGACTGTGTACAGATCAGAATGAAGAACAGAGTTTGGGGTCTAGTAACATTGCGGAACTAAGTCCAGGGGCAATAGACTCCTGTAGAAGTGAATACCATGCTGCTTTTAACAGTATGATGATGGAGCGTATGACCACTGACATTAATGCATTGAAAAGGCAGTATTCCCGAATAAAGAAGAAGCAGCAGCAGCAGGTTCATCAGGTGTATATCAGAGCAGGTAATGTATCAGAACATGCTCTTCCCCTTTATTCTTTACAAGCCAACTTCACTATCTGAAAAGAGAGGTATAAATGTTTTTTGTGTCTTTAAATTATTCATATGTAGAGAGAGGACAAAAGAGAATGAATGAACTTGCAATACAATACATTAGTGATATGGCAGAAGCAATTTCGTACAAACAAATCGTATATAAGATGATTTCTTTGTTTTTCTTTTATCAGGGTCTGAAGATGACGACCCTGGGATCTTGTTAGGTCCCAGGGACCAGCTGAATAATGGTATCTAAAAATGTCTTTGCTATCTGGGTATATCACATTGGTTTCACTGCTGAACATGTTAAAATCTGCGGCATCCTTGGACTTGACAATACTTATACATTGTTAAAGAAATGACAATAATATACTTTAAGAACCAAGGGGTAGATCCTCAGCTGGTGTAAATTGCCATAGCTCCATTTAAAACAGTTTGTTGAAGTCAAGGGAACTGCGTCACCAAATAGTCAATTGTAGCTCCAAGATTGACAGTTCAAATCCAGTCCAGGATGGTAGTGAGTATGTGGGAAATGAGTTTGTTCCCAGTCCATTTCCTCATGGAGAGAGATCCACATGATAAAAACTACTACCACAATTGGCACTGATTGGCAACCTTGGGGGCAGCATCAGCAGACAGGCTGAGGATTTTAATAGGCATGGAGATGGAACTCCCATCTCACTGCTAGAGGTGGTCCCTCCAAGTCACAGTTGAAACACATTGATGGGCCACTGTGGGAAAGTTTGTTCCATTAGTGCTATACCTATTCTGTACATGGAGGATTTTAGTCCCCAGAACAGTCAGTCTAGCAGGTTTTGTGATCGTTACATTCACATGAAAGGGAAAAAAATACTTATTTTTAAAATACTGGTGATGCATCGAGTGCAAACAGAAGCTCTGGCCAAACTGAAACAATGCAATAGTAAGATCCTCATTTCCAATGATTGCCAAACCCTTTCTGATTTTGCTAATCATGATTAATGGGCTAATTTATACTTTTAACATACTAATTCTGAGTCTGTCACTCTGGTAAAATCGGAAGTTCTGATGGAAATAATAAGCTAGTTTGTCCTGGTTCCAGTTCAGCATGGACAGATGTCTATTAAAAATAAATTGGTGCATTTTCCAGACCTCTGCTCAAGGAGAGGCCTGTGTGACTGAATTGCCTCTCGATATTGAAGGAAGAATCTAAGAGATGAGGGACTCGCTAAGGCCAAGGTTAATGTTAACCTTTGTATTGTAGCAGGTATAGGTACCCTATAAGAGTAAAAAGTCCTGTGCAGGGCTATGCTCAGCTCTAAACAAATACAAAGCAAAATCATATTGGCAATACTTTCCACATTTTTACAGTGTCCCACCTCCTGTCATGCTCCCACCTGCAATTCCTAAAATGATAGAACCAGTTTCCATATATCTATTATCTTAGCAGTAGTTAATTCCTAAACCAGTAACAGTAAGAAAGGACGTGAGATGAGGGAAAGCTTTTACCATACTTTTCCTCTCTGTTTTTGACTTGAAGATGCACTATAGTGTTAGAGGAATTCAGTTTCCACTAGGGTCGGTCCTACAAATCATCACAAGAAACAGCATCAAGACTGTTTGATTGGTGGGTGATCACTGATGTAATGATTTGTTTTTGTTCTTTAAGACTGTAATTTTTTTTAACTTTTTCTTTCAGACAAAGGGCCAGTTACCAGTCTTCTCCCCTCTCAGGTAAACCATTCTCCAGTGATAAACCACCTTCTTTTAGGAAAGAAGATGAGGGCGACCAATAGAGCTGCCAAGAATGCAGTCATTCATATCCCAAGTCACACAGGGGGCAAAATGTCACCCATTCCCCATGAAGATCTTAAAACGAAACTCAACTCTCCCTGGCGCACTCACATCCGAGTACATCGAAAGAACATAGCTAGAGCCAAATGCCAGCTGGGCTATGGGGATACCATAGGACTCATAGAAGAGCAGAGTGAAGGCTGCAAACCAAATAGCTGCAGTGCAAAGGAGGACCCTCCAAGCAATTCTGATTTGGGGGAAAGAGAGGGAAGTGGCTTGGATAACAGGACTATTCGGAAAGCTGATGAACAGTCAGCTGAGGCACTTTACAAGGACACCAATGCAAATATGTCAGTGGTTCAGCTGAAATTAGAAGCACTGGAACTAACCCAAAATAACAAACCTGATGCTGAGCCAATGTCCAATCAGTCCTGCCCAACACACTTATCAGAATCACCTAGTTTATCCAGTGACAGTGGAACATTGGCTAAATCTTCCCAAGCCAGCAATCCTAAATTACAAGTGTTTAGCCCTTTCCCCAGCGTCAAACCCCTTCGGAAGTCAACTGCAGCCCGCAATTTAGGTTTATATGGCCCAACTGAAAGAACTCCAACCGTGCACTTTCCACAAATGAGTAAAAGTTTCAACAAGTCCGCCAACGGGAACAGTGGGACTAAAAAACGATGATGTACGATCAGCACTTTATATTTCTGGAAAAAAAATGTATTGATTGTTGTGTGTGTATATGTGTCCAAAAGAGTTTCTAAATAGTTTAATTCTTTAAATGAAATAATGGGGACAAAGTGGTTAACAGATGTATAAATATGTATCCTTGAAAATTGTGCTCTTGTAATGTATGGATAGATTAGGGAAGATGCAATGTGGCTCACCACGTAGATTATAATGGTTCTGTGGTAAAATAAACATTGATTTGCAATGTGAAGCATGCTTCTACTTTTTAAATCTAATTTAGGAGAAACTGTAGGGCTGCCTCCTTCCCCCCTTCAAAGGGTGCTCCATGTCCCTGTCAGGGCCCTGAAGATAACTTTTCCATCTTAGTCACCTATACCCATCTACAAAGCATTCTGTATGACTACCTGCCTTATGGTTAAGTGGAACTGCCTTTAGATCTCATCAACATGGCTCCCTAACTAGCTAGCGGAACTGCAATTAAACAACAATAAATCAGGCAGATACAGAAATCAAAAGCATCTCTTGCAGTGCAGAAAATTACCACTAATATATGGGACCAGCTGGATGGTGATTCAAAAACTATTCAGCAGCATTTAATGTTTCTGTTCCTGTGGCAGGTCTTGTCTGCTGGTGTTACTTCTTTTCAATTTTCAGTTTGAAGTTGGTCAGCTAAGCTAAAATAAGAAGAAAAACATACCCCCTTTCATGACATTGCAAATTGCTACTGAAAAGAAAAAATCTGTGGAGAGTCATAGAGTAATAAGATTAAGGATATATAGAGAGAGTTGTTGATAAACTTCTTGGCTACAGTGGATTTAAAAAATAAAATCTGTAGTTTCTTGCCATTTTAAGGTAAGTCAAATTTAACATTAACTGTTGACAGTGGGCAGAATTTTCAAAAGTGTTCAAGTGACTTAGGAATTTAAGCCCCACTTGCAAAAGTGATTTAGGAACCTAGGTCTCATTGGAAGTCAACCCACCCATTTAAGCAAGTGGATCCACTCCAATTGACTAAAATGGATTCAGAAATAGGCCTGTGTATAGGGTATGGAAGTTTAAGATTAATTATTAATTCCATTCTAATTTCTTTTGCCAGTTGCTCATAATTTTTTCTCAAATGCCCAGAATACTGTCTCTCTTTTCCGCAGTTGTGAAACTTTCAAAGCTTGTAAGTTCCTTACGCCAAATAACTCTGGATTTCTTTCCATATATATTCAAACAGGGAAACTAAATGTAAAACCCTAGGGATAATTCAACTTCAAGGTTGAAAACTCAAGCACTCAACTTCCAAAAAATTCAGATTGCTCCTATAATGTTGACTCTACCATTATGAACATATTGGCCCTGGTTCCCCACTGTGTTGCTTCAGAGTTCCACAGGCATACGGAAGTAATGCAGCAATGAATCAGCTCCAAGGTGTGTAGTATTTGTCTCTTCCTATATTCTTTAAATGTAAACTTTAATATATCATTGTTTATTAATGTATCCCATAAAATACATAGGATGTACTATAGTAATTAATGTATACCATAAATTTATATAGGCTGTACAGTATGCCCTGTTGGTTGTTGTGAGGACAACTTTATCTTGTTCTTGTATTTTATATAAGTGTATGGGTGTAATGTAAATATACAAATATATATATTATAAATTTTAAACAGATGGAGATCAGTCCTTGCCCCCTGCCTCATTTTCAGGGCTATGTAGGATATTTACTAATGCTTATCTATGAGGTTGAATAAATTTTTAAAATATGCAGAATTTAGTCGTTGATCAGGGACTGTACTTGGAAGTTTTTAAAAGAAGTGTAAACCAAGAAGGAAACCTTACTGTGAATCAAACTCCCAGTGAATCAAACTCCCATTCATTACTGTGAATCAAATTCCCGGTATTAGTGTACTGTGTACGTACACACACACACACACACACACACACAGAGAGAGAGAGACCCAGTAAAAAAGAAAAGGACTGACATTCTAAAGCACAATGATAAAATGTCAAAAGTGTGTGCATTTTCAGCACATAATATGACTTTAAAAGATTTAACAGCTGGTCAGCTGTAGCTAGATGGCAGTAAGAGTAAGAAATGCCATCAAAGAAAACTAATGCCAGAGAGTCGCATGTAACCAGTATTTGATAAAGCACAATCTGGGGCACCTGTTCCTTTAATAATGGAGCACTTTCCTCTTCTGAATATGAAGATTTTGAGTAATCAAAGTAACTAAACACGTTTAGTTCTGCTGCAGCCTGAAAGATTCTACCCATAATCCTGGCACAGATTCCTCACTTCCTGCCATGCCTTCTACCACCTTATTGAACAGTTATTAGCAGTATCTCAGCAGTTCAGTGATTCAAAGGACCTTTGGCACTGTAACCTTAAATTCAACTTCCAGAATGCTACACTAGTGGCATCAAATTTAAGTATCATTCTGTCCTGAAAAGTGCTCAGAAGAGGGCCAGAGAAATTCCATAAGATATCTGTCCTGGGGTTTCCAATACAGAATCTGTTAAGGGGAGTACTGTGGAGTCCTGCAGTGTTTGGAGATGAGTCCTTATAGCAATGGACCTTGGGATTCATAATGGCAAGAGTTATCCATGTGGACAGCTGTGTGTCTGGTCCCACAAGAACTCTGACAACTTGGTATCTGCAGATGTGCTATTTGCAGGGTTTGGCTGTGTTTGTGCAGTAACAGCCACAAAGAGGACCAAGGTAGAGATAACTGTAAACTATTCATTCCAGGATGCACGGCATGGAACACCAGCATCTCCGCAGGTTCATTTCTGTCCCTGCTCTGTACGTAGGAATTGCAAATACTGATAAAATGCTATGCACTTCACAGTCCATCAGGCTTCCTCTTACTAATGCTTTTTTTCCCCAGTAGACAATTAGATCAAATTTTTTTCAAGATCTTACAGTTTTTTTATTAGAATACAACATATCCAATGTGTCATTAAGGTCAGACTAATCATTACTACTGCGATTGCTTTTAAAAGTACAGGAGACTCGAAATTTACTAAATAGAAGCTCCCCAGAGATGGGTCAGTGGATTAAATTTGAGGCGATATACAGTGTCCGCTCATTTCCACTAGGAGCTGTTGATCATTCAAAAGAGCTCAGCCCTTTGTTGATGAGAGAAATCTTTCATACTTGCTTGTTGGAAGCAATTGGTTTTTGCTCTCAAACAGAGTTAGAAAATTGTGTATCATCAACAGAAAACTAAAATGCATTCAAAATAATGAATACGAATGGCAATGAACTGGACTTCTTTCTTGATGTCTGATGCATGGGTAGCAGAAACTCAGGGGGAAAAATACATTCACCTGCAGTGATATTTTCATTGGAGCTATTTCCTTTTCAGATACAAGTTAATAAAATGTGTTCTTAAAAGCAATTTTAAAATGAACATTTCAATATAAACTTGTCTTTATTGAACTCTTAACATTAATAAAAAGTGAAATAATTCTGATAATGAGAATTCGATGCTTTCACCAAAATGCAGAATTACTTGAAGTCTATTATTGTAGTGAGTTGTCTCATGCTCTTTTAAGGATAACAATCACCTGGTTTAATCAGAAGAGGCCAAACTCATCCTGGGTGTGAATTCATTGACTTAAATGGCTTTACAGCACCGATGAATGTGCTCCAAGATGTCTTCACTATCTAACAAAGATAAATCACTGCATATTGTGCCATGTGATCATAATAATAAGTAGCAGCACTCCAGCTACTTAATATAGTGCTGTCACTGTACCACCCAGTATTAAAACTCAGCCCAAAAAGCATCCTGCTCTTGCCAACCCTTAGCTCGTTTTTGTTCTTCACGCTTCTCTTGTTGTAGGAAGGTTTATGCAAAGAGGTGGGTCTTGCACCGAGCTCTGAAAGTGATCTGGTTTGAGCTCTTTCTGATCTCCCAACCTAGCT